CAAAAGGATGTTCATAATCGCTTTCAAATATGAACACTACCTTTCGAAATGGTGGATGGAGGTAAAATATCATTTGGAACACTCCAAATAATGGAAATAACATCCTTAAATTGTAGATTCATCACAACGTGATCCCCTAATTCATAAGATCGTACGTGGAATCCACATCATTGTCTACACTGACTCATCGTATCTTAACAACCAACAAGATATGATGGAGAACACACTTAGGCTGGAGATAGAACAATATATTCAGTATGAATACAAAGTATAGGCTACACACGAATGATCAAGCCAGCAAGGCTGAGCCATTTGTGAGTTGAGTTAATCCAGTTAATTTCTCCCGCTTTCTCCATTGTTAACCTTCTCTTTGTGTTGATTGTGAAATATAAGTCTTTTCATTAATTATGTGCTCGGTTTCAAAAGTCTCATGTTTATAGTCCAATCCCACTATAGACTCACTTAGATCCTCATAACGTATTCCGTTATTGTGACTGGCTTGCATATGAAACATAGATTTATAAACCTTTGTCAGTAGATTATGGGAAATTAGTTTGTATGTAACATCGACACTGTAAACGTTTCTGCAGTGTTGTGAATGATTGTGGAGTTTGTATGAACCAAAAAGTCTTTGGTTCTTTAGGTTTGCTTGGTTTTGAATTTCAACTACATTACGTTCGTTTGTGATCACCTAGTTCTACCTTATTTGAACTGTGTTACTGTGATGTTTGAACGAACCAATGATTTCTTTGTATTGATGACTGTTTTGATTTTGAATTCCAAATACAGTACATTCGTTCATGCTCATCTAGTACTTCTTGATTAAATTGCTTTATTGCTAGGATTACTAGTTTATACTATAATTCGAATACTTGTGAATATCACATTGGCGTCGCGATTGAGCTTGCGATACAACAGTTGGACATTCATTCAAATTCTGAAGATTTTGGGAATTATTTTGAAAGGTTTGAGATATGGAGCATGGCCAAGAAAGGTATGAAGGGTGGCTAAATTATGGCACATTTTCTGACATTCATCGGTCAAGAAGCCTACAGTTTATTAAAAAGGTTGGCATATCCAGATAAGCCGATCTCACTCCCTTATACAACGCTCAAGGAAATACTAGTAAATCATGTGAAATGCACCAGTCTTGAATGTCGTGAGAGAGCGAAATTTCATAAGGTGATTTGTCAGGATAACAAAAAGGTTAGGGAATTCATCCTTGAATTGCAAAGACAAACTGCCAAATGCAATTTCGATGCTGAACTTCATGTACAGCTGAGAGATCGATTAACTGCAGTAATTAACATACCAGGTCTGAAAAAGGAGCTGTTAATAGTTCCGAAGTTTTCATTTCAAGATGCAGGAACTGCCTGTATTAACTACGAAGCAGTGAAAGAACTTGATATCCAATCGATGAAAATTTGCAATACTTTGACGTGCTTTTCGAACAGGAAGTTTAGTCCTAACGTGATTTACATTTCTCAAACGTTCTCTGTGTTCTTACGCAACAAAAGTACCATTTCCGATCTAAAGAATCTATTCTGAGCTATACGTTCGGTAGATTACTTATTTTTTTGTGTTTCACTCAAATTAATAGTTAACTGTGGTTTTGTCTCAGCTCACTATCGGTTTTTTTTATAGTTTTCACGGAAAGACTAGCTTTAGCTTATCGTTAACTGTTTTTATACATTTTTGCCAGTTTTTGTTTACTGTGTTTTTTTCAAACGGTCCTAAGTTTACTGCTTGTATTTTTAAGATACTCTAAATCACTAGCCATGAAAAATGCATGCAAAAGACCTGATTGCCGTTTCGCCGTTACATCGGGCATGCAATGTGACATGCAAAGGTTGGTTCCACGAAGCATGTACAGATCTAACAGCAGCAGCCTATAGCAGACTCAGCAAGTCTGATTGTAGATGGGTATGTGTTACCTGCAACACTGATACCGTAGTTATGTTGGGTACCATCATTACTTTACTAGCAGGTCTGAGAGATAAGTTGTCTAAGAATTTGGTAAATGATAGCATCATGACGGGTAACAAAGCTGGAAAGCAAAAAGAAATTAAGAAAAACGATATTGTCAGGTCGGTTATCGACGGTGCTGTTAACAGCACGAGTGATGTGCTGAAACTCAGCACCATCTTAACATCGACTGTCATCAACTCCCTCGATTTACTTGGGTCCCCCAGGGAAGAGTCCTTGAATGAGACAGTGGTTCCCAAAAATCCTGTAGGTGATTGGACTCACGTTAACAGGAGTAAAAAGGCCAAAGCGTCCCCGCCGAAACTGAACATCCCAAGTACCGTGCGGAAATCAATTGATGCTTTGACCGCACAGTCTACCCCCAAGACTGTCCGCCCGGTCATCACTGAGCCCAAGAATCGAAAACGCGCCTCGACATCCAAACAACAAGATACCAAACCTAGACGCCCTGGAAAACCTGGGAAATCAATTACGGTTCGTGACGACTCTGTCATAATCATGAACCTTATTCACAACCCCGACCTTCCTCTCAGTTTGCAGGAGAAAAATGACAGGATGCTCTGGGGAGAATTAAACAAGAGGCTTGAACTCCCTGGAATAAAGCCTTTGACCGTCACACGGCTCACTCGGGTGAAGGACTCTAACCACCTAAACCACCCGAGGCTGCTTCGTGTTACACTTAAGAATGCCTCCGAAGTAGAGGACGTCTTGCTAGCCAGTCACTTACTGAAGTCCTATGGGCACGTAAGAATACTGCACGACATACCGTATTCTGAACGAAATCTCATCCGGAACATCCCTAAGGAATATCGCGAGGCGTTTTTCCGTGGACGAAATATCATTATACAAGGTGTGCTGGAAAATATGAACCCAACTCAAGCAAACTCTGATATTCGGGAATGGAAATTCATTAGGCGGTGAGTGCTGCACATGTGTTTCATGAGTGCACCAAAAAATGTCGAAAAGAACATAAGCCAAGAGTGTCACTCTGGACTCATGTCAATGATATCAGTGTTAGGGTAGTGACGACAATATTGTTGTCAGTTTGCAGGAGATTCGCTCGACTGCGTAAATTGAAGATTCGCGTGAATGTGTCGTAAAACCACCAATTGAACTGGACAGGCTTTAGATCGTCGAGTAGTTGAACAGCCGATTGATGTACCGAAATCATCTATTAGATAACAGCTACGCGGAAACAATACTTCATAGGATGAAAAAAAATACGACGTCGAAATTAAATAATTACAATAGTTCGGATGTGTTGTAATATCACATCGAAGTAACATCATTTCGTATACTGACAATTGTACTGAACGTTCGTTTGGGCATTGTTTATGTAGCAATTGGATGTGAAGTAGCAAACATTATCGTGGAGTTCGTGGAGAGTTTCAGAGGTCGTTTAGATATTCTCCAAACCCGTATTGCATGTGAATAAACCGAAAACGGAATTCAAGTGACTTCCGTACGATAAGGAAATCGAGCCATGATTTACCGTGAGATAACAGCACATACAAAGCGTGTAGTAAACAATAATTTAAATGGTAACCACCAATGTAACTAAAGTTTAGGTTTAGATAACGTGATCGTTTCGTAAAAAAGCATATTATCTAGCGCTAAGTGACATCAAGTACAACGAAGTGTCTCATTAAGACATGGACTAAGATTGCTCGTGTACATGAAATACGTTTTTTCGGAGTATGTTGACTTACGAGTCATAAATGTACATAGTTTCGACTAAAATTTGACGGCAGTGACAGAATGTATGACTACTCTAGGTGAAAGTAGCCGCGAAATGTTATTAGACATCATAAACATTATACGAAATTATTTAACACAGTTATGAAACTCGCCTGGGTTACTCTTGCTCCCAAGTAATTGAAATTTGTTGATTAAATTCGTAGATTAACGAAGCGTTGTAGACTGAATTGGTATACGTCCAAATTTAACTTCAGCCAAATACGTAGCATTGCCTGGCGAAACAGTCTAAACAAGACCTAACATTGCAAGAAATTTATAGCTCAAACACACCGTAAATTTGTAGCATTCGTATCTTCGCCATGGAACTCAGCAATTGGAAATTAGGCAGGCAGTGGTCAAGAAAGTAAAATATTCTAGATAGTTTTTGATAGTGATTAAGCAGGAAGATGAATTTATAATCGACAGTTAATCCTGTATTGGTTATACAAGTGGATAAGTTGCAAACAGATAAGCGTTCGTGTTACCTTAAGGCTATACTTACGAGTGGTTGATATTTTAACAGACATATTACACAGGAGCATTTACATGCTGCTAATGCTTGTTAAAGAACCACGATAGTCGATTATAGTCGTAGTTGATTGGTTAGTTCTATCGATTGAACTAATTATTTCAGTAGAAATACTAATCAACATTGATATGAAGCAACGAATGTTCACAGAAACTGATAAAGATAGCCAAAGTTAAAAATGAAAAATATTAAGTATAGAATGCAATAAAAAAAGATCATAATGACAGTTTGCGGTATTCGAAGTCTTGCTCACCAGTGTAGAACATCAACGTTGATGTTCTATGTCGAAATGATTGGGGACCTACTATAGTTAGACGAGAATGGTGACGAACCAACTAACGCTGAAGTCACACCTCGCGACCAGCCCTTATGTGGATTGAACCATCGACGCATCAAAGGATCATGGACGCTATGGAGACTGTACAACACAAAGGACGTTATTACAAGAATATATTAGTTAAGGTACAACCACGAAAATACAAAAATGAAAGAACATACCTACCGCGCGCTATTTAAAAAGGACAGTGGTATTTTTCCTCGTTGAGTAAATTCTATTGTTTTGATCGTTTTTAACGTATCAAGACTACTGTTTTTATACTTTGATTGAATTTCTTTCAGTTAAAGTATTCTATTAGAGTATCATCTTTGGTATCCTAAATAGTTTTTATCGTCGGTACTCCAGAGTACCTTTTTTTTTTCCATTGTGTCTGTTAGTACTTTGGTCCTAACTGTTTATAGTTTTTTTTTTCTACTTATAGTCAACACTCACTTACGCATCTTAAAATGACTGGAAGATGCAACAAAAGTATTTGCCACCGCCCAGGATGTCGATATCCTGTTGATAGCGGCATGCAGTGCGATGAGTGCAAAGGTTGGTACCACGATGTTTGCACGAATCTAACACCTGCAGCTTTCAAGCGGTTTAGTAAAAATGGATGTGTATGGCTATGTCAACAGTGCTGTTTGGATGCAAATAGCCTGCTAACCGAGGCCATTTCAATAGTAAATGCCGCAAAAAAGTGTCTCGGCAAGCGCGGTCGGGATACATCAGTCAGAACTCAATCTGTCGACACGCAGATTGACACAAGGCAGGCCCAAGTGAGTCCAAAAACTGCCGACCCACACCCTACTAAGGAGGAAGAACATCCTCCAAAGAGGACTGTTATAACCAGAAACTCGCGCAAAAAAGTCTCTTCTGTCCCTCGTATCAAAAATGGTACCCAGAAGGGAACTTCAGGAAGCCGAAACCGCAAGGCTCGATCGGTTTCCAGCGCGAAAGATGACCCGATCTCCCAAGTCGTCCTGACTCTTCCGGAATCCCACAGTACGCCTGACGCGAATGTGGTTACCACTCCAAAGAACGTTGGCGATTGGGTACGGGTCGTAAGAAAAAAACGCCAAAATGACGTAAAAGGAAGTCATACCCCCTCCAAAAGGGTCGACAAGCCGAGGTCTGATCACAGCGACAGATCAGTCATTCTCCATAGAGTCAAGGAGAGTGACAACTTAGAACCGAAAGCTCGTTTTGAGCATGACATTGTGTTGATAAAACAACTACTCAACCAAGTTATGCCCAAAAACATCCCCGGAGTCACCTTGCTAAAGGTGTATAGATTAGGAAATCTAGCGCATCTAAAACCAAATCAGTCTAGACTACTCAAAGTCGTTTTCAAATCCTCAAACGAACGCGACTTAATCTTAGAAAATGGACACAAATTAAAGGGTTCAGGAGTTTTTCTCCGTAAGGACTTACCGTTGGCGGACCGTGTTAAAAGACGGGAAGCCGAAAAGGAACTACAGCTCAGATTAGACGCTGGCGAAAAAGACCTGAAAATTGTAAATTTTCGGGTTGTGAGGCTTCGACAGAGGATGATGCCGAAGCCACTCTGGGTGAAGCACGAGGCCACCTAAATAGGCTTCGGATCTGTTATACCAACGCCCGGAGCTTACTAAATAAGCTACCGGAACTAGGTGTACAGATTGACTCAACTAGGCCAGACATAATCGCAGTCACAGAAACATGGCTGACGCCGTCTATAGATAGTAGGGAACTTGATTTCGAGGGTTTTACATTGGTAAGGGCCGATAGAATACAAACGCGTAAAGGAGGGGGAGTAGCTCTCTTCATTAGGAATGCTATTCCATTCACCATTATCGACAGTGTATCCCATGAGAGTGGGACGTATGAATTAGTTTGCTGCCGCCTGAAATGCAGGGGACAAGAGTTACTACTTAGTTTGATCTATCGCAGTCCAAGCTGTGAGGCAAACGAGGTCCTGCTAAGCAGTCTCAACACTTTATCACGAAGTGATCGATGTCTAATCTTAGGGGACTTCAATGCACCCATGGTGGACTGGGGAAATCTTCGGACTGAATCGTCAGCAAACTCCTTCGAACAGGAACTAGTTGATGCGATAATCACTTGTGCTCTAGTGCAACACGTGAAGGAAGCAACTAGGTACGACCCGGGTTCTGCATCATCCTTACTAGATCTTATATTGACTCAATATGAGGATGATGTTGCAAACCTGGATTACATGCCACCCCTAGGCAAAAGTGATCATGCAGTTTTAAGCTTTGACTTCCATATAACTGTCGATCATGAGTACGCTTCAGCTCAATCCAGACCTAACGTCTGGAAAGCAAACATAGCAGACATCATGAAATCAGCATCATTAGTAGATTGGAAATTAGATCCAGAGTCATCAATCGAAACGGCTTGGGACGTATTCCGGAATTTATACTTAAAAGTTACCGCCCCCCACATCCCTTGGACTACACCTAAGAGACCGAGAAACTCCCCACCGTGGTTCAGTAGGGAGGTTCGCATCCTTCTCCGTAAAAGAAGGAAAATGTGGGACAGATTTAGGTTACTGGGGACTGACGAGGCGAAATCTCAGTATCAAAAGGCTCGAAATACCTGTGCCTCGACCCTCCGTAAGGCCAGAAAGCTGTACGAAGAGAAAATCGTAAGGGAATCCATAGAATGCCCTAAACGCTTGTATTCGTATATAAACCAAAGGACAAAAAGGAGAAGAAATGTTCCCTCATTATGGGGAGACAGTACTGCCACATCACTAGTGGAGGATGACTTTGGCAAAGCTCAAGTATTCTCTAAATACTTTAGCGATGTATACACCATAGAAACACCCTTCTCACCAGTCCATGAAAATCCACCCACACAAGCACTGGACAGCGTAACCATTGAAGAACTCGATGTTTTTGGTCTGCTAGTTAAGCTTGACATAGGTAAATCCACTGGACCCGATGAACTGCATCCTAGGTTACTAAAGGAATTAGCTAACTTTGTTGCGAACCCTTTAAGTGTATGTTTTAATCTATCCGTAACCCAGGGTCGTCTACCAAAAGACTGGAAGAACGCCATAGTAAGTCCAGTCTTCAAAACAGGTACAAAACATAAGCCCGAGAATTACCGACCAATTAGCCTAACTAGTGTGGTTGTTAAAATCTTAGAAAAGATTATTCGGAAGGAACTGTTAAAGTATCTCGATGAAAACCGGATCCTCTCCGAAAAGCAGCATGGTTTTAGAACAGGTTACTCTTGTCTCACAAACTTATTAGTCGCTCGTGAAAGCTGGTGCGCTCTTAAGGACCAAAAATTACCTATAGACGTAGCTTACATCGATTTCAGCAAAGCCTTTGACAAAGTTCCGCATAACCGGCTGTTATATAAGCTAAGGAATGTCGGGATTGGAGGCAATCTATTGATGTGGATAAAAGACTTCCTAGTTGGGCGTCAACAAAGAGTAAGGGTGAACTCCAAGTTGTCTAGCTGGGAAACTGTGCTTAGTGGAGTCCCCCAAGGTACAGTTTTGGGGCCAGTGTTATTCCTCCTGTACGTAAATGATCTCCCTCGTCTACTATCGTCATCGGTCTTACTCTATGCTGATGATGTCAAGATATGGAGAGCGATACAAAGCAAGAGCGATAGCTTAGAACTTCAAAATGACCTGGAGAGATTATCTGAATGGTCCCAAACCTGGCAATTGCCGATAAACACTTCCAAGTGTATTGTGATGCATAATGGCCATCAGGGTACAGATACATACACGATGAATAACACTGAGTTACCTATTGTTCAGGCACACAATGACTTGGGAGTTTTCGAGTGGTGATAAATTTGTACCTGATATGTCCTCATTTTTCTTGTCTCTCAAAACAGAAAATTTATGAGGACACTCCAGAAAAGCTCGCAAGCCCAGAACGAATTACTTGTCAGCTGACTACCGACTTTCCCATCGAATAATCAACGAGTGGAATTCATTACCTCAGCACGTGGTTGAGGCTCCATCCGTCGACTCCTTCAAAAGAAAGTTGGATCAGCTGAGAGACCATCATTGCCAGGACTAACACAGGCCACCAAGCCTCCTGTCCTTTCCAAACTGAAACTGAAACTGAAACTGAAACACTGCCGCGTGGGCCAGTCCATGGCGTAAGATTGATTGATGCGCGTTGACTATTCTTGACCTTGACAGGGATCAATGATCTGTTCGATATTCAGTGACCCTACAGTAAATTGGACCTAGGCTTAAGCAAAGCATGTGGTCTGGTGGACTGTGTTGACTTTTTGATGCACGTGGGCATTTCGCTTTTTATTTCAACTAGTCTTACCGTTGGCATACTGCACGAAGAAGGGGGTTTGTGGTGGACCAAAATGTATGATAACCAAAAATTAGCAACAAAAAATATTATGTCTTTAGTTTATGTAACAATTAACAGTTAATAAGTTAATTACACACAAATAACAAAATAAGGGACGTTACTTAAGTCTTCAGGCTATTGCATGTTCAGTTGAGTTTGGTCTAGATAATCCACAATTATAAAAGATTAGTAATCCCAATACGGACGATATAGATCCAGCAGGTTTACCAAGCGTAGAATTCAATAAGAATGTCACAATTGTCTATAAACGTAGATAGTATGCAATTAATATTTCATTTAACATATTAGCAGACATAGCAGAACGATGCAGATGTGAATTAGAGTGTATTTAATGAGGACCAGTAACAGTGCCACGATATGTTGTACTCAAAACGGAAAGGAGTCAAGTTACAAGTGTTCAAAGTAATACACTTAAACAACAAGTACAATTGTTTAATGCTTAATGTACAGAATATGAAAATACATGCAAAAACTATGAAAAATGATTTACAAAATAGGTTTTAAGGTTCTGTCTCCACATAGCTCCCCCCAGAGTGTCCGGAGGTAACACTGATTACAATATGAACAACAAAAATTGGGAAATATTGTGTATAAATGTACATAAAATAGTATTTACTGTAATAATGAAAAAAAGGTGGAGATAGGAATAAATGACACGTTAATAATATAGGCAATGCTACGCAAAATGAAACTGAAAAAACGAGCATTAAAAAGTTTTGGTTTGCTAATAATAATAATAATAAAATGTGAAAAACTGTTAATAGAGTCATAAAATATTTTTAAAAACTGGATGAATTTAATGAATAGTTGGTTTGCATTCACTCGTTTATTACTATGGCAATTTTTCTTATTAAAAAAAATTGGCAAAACCAGTGATAATAAATAAATGTAGTTATTAAATGTACATGTAATGAAAATAAATAGCTTTTTATTAAAAAATTGAGTAACAACAATAAAATGCGTGTAATTAAATCGATTTTTGTTAGTCGGCGAAATGTACGTAGTACGGGTTGTAGAACATCAGCACAATTGGGTAAAAATCGTCGATAAAAATTTAATGCTCCCAGGAAACGACGTAGTGCCTTAACAGAAGTAGGCTCAGGGTAGTTGATTCAACTTTATTTGGAAGGGGTTTAATTCCCTGAGAGTCTATGTAATGACCGAGGAACTCCAACACTGAAACACCAAATGTAGACTTTGAGGGATTAATCACGACGCCATAACTTTTGAAACGCTCAAAGGGAGTCCGCAAGTGCTGAATATGTTCTTCCAAGGAAGAGCTAGCGATTAAAACGTCATCAACATAAATGAACACAAAATCCAAACCTCTAGTTACCTCATCCATGAATCTTTGAAAGGTCTGGGCAGCGTTTTTTAATCCGAAAGGCATCCTTAAGAATTCAAACAAACCAAAGGGCGTGATGATGGCTGTTTGCTCAATATCTTCAGGTGCCATCGGAATTTGGTGATATGCACGTACAAGATCTAACTTCGAAAAAACTTGCTTTCCATGTAGGTTTAAAGAAAAATCGTGTATATGCGGGATGGGATATCTATCTGGGATAGTCTGACTATTCAACCGACGGTAATCACCGCATGGGTGCCAATCTTGTTCTTTTTTTGGAACCATATGAAGCGGAGAAGCCCGGGGACTGCTAGACTGCCTAACGATGCCTAGTTGCATCATGTGTTCAAATTCTCGTTTGGCAATCGCTAACTTGTGAGGTGGTAGTCTCCTGGGTTTTGCACGTACAGGTTGACCAGTGGTAGTAATATGGTGTTGTACATGATGAACAGTGCATTAATTTTGATAATCGGCTCTTGTGATGCACCCGTATTGCGATAAAATATCGGTAAAGATTTTATTTTCAGGTTTTTGAATACGGACTCTGTAGATTTCAGAGTCAGAAGAGATTATGCCAGTGACTTGTAACTTTGTGTTTCTGACGATGAGTTTCTATTCTCGCATGTCAACTAATAAGTTGTGAGCACTGAGGAAATCAGCTCCGAGGATGGGTTGTTTAACTTGAGCTACTATAAAAACCCATGCAAATCTCCTACGAAGGCCGAGGTCTAGTATGAGTGACTGCTCACCGTACGTTTTGATAATGGAGTTGTTTGCCGCAACAAGGGATAGCTTAGCAGGCTCTGAGTGCCGTCGTCGAGAGAGATGCAACGGGAGAATGCTGATTTCTGCTCCTGTATCGACTAAAAAGTCAGAGCCAGAAATACGGTCCCGGATGTGAAAGAGACGGCTTGCCGTGATGCCAGGAACAGGTGCCGTCATTACTGCCTGGCCGGACCGTTTCCCTGATTCATCGTGTCATTTGCAGAAAATACACACGGCCGAGTACATCGACGTGCTTTAGCCCCGTATTTATTATGGTACCAACATACATCAGAGCTCTTCTTGGGTGAACATGAACGTCGTCGAGATGAGGATCTTCGTCTCAAAGAAGGTCCAAGCTGTCTAGCTTGAACTGTTGCAACTGTGGTCTGAAGTGACTTTAGTTGGTTCGTTAGTTGGGACAGTTGTCTTTGCATAGAATTTAAATAGCCAACGTCTGCTGCTCCGTACGGCTGCATCGTGTTTATGTAGTGATTATCATGCCACACTTCCGTTACTTTATCTGCCATATCAGCTAACTTATCGAGGGAGGAATATTTCCCCAAGGCACTTAGAATTTGTCTGACACTGCGTGGTAATCGGTTGAACCACATTTGTTTGAGAAGGGCTTCGTCTAGTTTATATGGGCCGGCAAGTTGTTTCATATGACGAAGTAGCTGGGAAGGTCTTTTGTCTCCCAGGTCACATGCATTCAAAAGTTGTTGTAATCTTGTTTCATCCGAAACCGTTGTTCGCTGAATTAAAGCCGATTTTAATTTATCATATGGCTCGGTTTCCGGAACCTGGTCGATAAGATCTCCAACTTCGGCTGCAATTTCGATCGGCAGTGAACCCACTACATAAGCTTACTTCGATGCTTGGGAACGTACGCCCCTGGACTGGAATAAGGCTTCTATTTGAGCAAACCAGATTCTAGGATTATTTACTCCATATGGTGGAAGCCTAAATTCAGAAATGGCGTTGACTGGACTAAATATACTGTCAGTAAGGTTAGATGATGAACTAAGAGTGGTTACTGGAATAGGGTCCATATCACTAAGCTTAGGTGGAGAGTACATTAAGTTATAAATCAGATAGAGGGTCGTACAATAAACAGATAAACCGTGTAGCAATGGGATAAATATGAGATAAACAAATACTAGGGCTCACCAAATAATTGTGGTGGACCAAAATGTATGATAACCAAAAATTAGCAACAAAAAATATTATGTCTTTAGTTTATGTAACAATTAACAGTTAATAAGTTAATTACACACAAATAACAAAATAAGGGACGTTACTTAAGTCTTCAGGCTATTGCATGTTCAGTTGAGTTTGGTCTAGATAATCCACAATTATAAAAGATTAGTAATCCCAATACGGACGATATAGATCCAGCAGGTTTACCAAGCGTAGAATTCAATAAGAATGTCACAATTGTCTATAAACGTAGATAGTATGCAATTAATATTTCATTTAACATATTAGCAGACATAGCAGAACGATGCAGATGTGAATTAGAGTGTATTTAATGAGGACCAGTAACAGTGCCACGATATGTTGTACTCAAAACGGAAAGGAGTCAAGTTACAAGTGTTCAAAGTAATACACTTAAACAACAAGTACAATTCATTATATGTGAAAAAATTATATTTGAAATAGTCTCAGCGATTGAAATTTAAATAATTCCAACGTTTCGTCCAGCTAACTTGTCTGGACTTCTTCAGGAAAAAAACAAGTACAATTGTTTAATGCTTAATGTACAGAATATGAAAATACATGCAAAAACTATGAAAAATGATTTACAAAATAGGTTTTAAGGTTCTGTCTCCACATAGCTCCCCCCAGAGTGTCCGGAGGTAACACTGATTACAATATGAACAACAAAAATTGGGAAATATTGTGTATAAATGTACATAAAATAGTATTTACTGTAATAATGAAAAAAAGGTGGAGATAGGAATAAATGACACGTTAATAATATAGGCAATGCTACGCAAAATGAAACTGAAAAAACGAGCATTAAAAAGTTTTGGTTTGCTAATAATAATAATAATAAAATGTGAAAAACTGTTAATAGAGTCATAAAATATTTTTAAAAACTGGATGAATTTAATGAATAGTTGGTTTGCATTCACTCGTTTATTACTATGGCAATTTTTCTTATTAAAAAAAAATTGGCAAAACCAGTGATAATAAATAAATGTAGTTATTAAATGTACATGTAATGAAAATAAATAGCTTTTTATTAAAAAATTGAGTAACAACAATAAAATGCGTGTAATTAAATCGATTTTTGTTAGTCGGCGAAATGTCCCCCAGAGCTCAAAACTAGGACCTCTTCTCTTCTTGATTTACATTAACGATCTTCTTCAACAAGTTTCATCTGATTTATTGCTTTTTGCTGATGATGTGAAACTTTGGAGAGAGATACGTAATCATAATAATATACTAGTTCTTCAGGAGGATCTGACTCGACTTCAAAGTTGGGCAGACGACAACGGACTTACCTTCAACACTTCAAAGTGCAAGGTAGTCCATCTGAGACATGTTGCAGACTATAGTTATAACTTAGGTAACTCCCCTCTAGAAGTTTCCCAAGTTGAAAAAGATTTAGGAGTGTTGGCACCCTACGACCTTAAATCGTATGCGAACTGTGACAAAAACGCCTCTCAAGCAAACCTTGCACTGGTAACATTGAAGCGCATTTTTGGCCAGTTTGACCGTAGAACCTTCCATATAATCTTCAACAGTTTTATTCGTCCCCACTTAGAGTACGGAAACATAGTATTTCCTCCCTCTCTCCAAAAGGATAAGGTCACTCTGGAACGTATCCAACGTCGAGCCACGAAATCAGTTCGGGGTCTCAAATTCAAACCTTATGAAGAGCGCCTCAAATCACTTAACCTTTACCCGTTAGAGTACAGGCGTCTTAGAGGTGATATTCTTATGACTTATAGTATCCTTAATACTTCTGGTCATCCCCTTAA